CATGATCATGCTTAAGGTGTAGGTGTTTAGCAAACGTCAAATAATAAAATTTTATTATTGTTTTATTACTTCTCACAAAAAAAAAAAAAAAACCATTTTTCTTTAATCATGCTTAAGGCCTCAGGATATAATACCTTTGCTCAATATTTTTATTCTACAAAGCAGAACTCTACTTAAAATGAAACAAAAAAAAGAACAGAACAGAACAAAACAAAACAAAACAAAATTATGCAAACTCTACTTATAAAATACACATGTTTAGTGGCAAGTCACATTTAATTTTTTATTAATTTGTCTAGTAATTTAATTTCTCTTCCTAGGCTAATAATCCAACAAAATTTGGGAATGATTTTTTACTACTAGGATTTGATAATTAACGGAATTTGGAAAAGCAAAAAAGCAAGATTGAATACGAAACAAGTAACAAGAGAAGCAAATATATGGGCCTGTAATAATGATAAAGCCAAACTGAATTGCTGTAATGGAATAAATCGAACACCATAATTTGCAAATGGACAAAAGTTATATGTATCAGTTTTAGGAAATGAGGTAACATTTTGGGTGCCAAACAATAGGTGAGTAAGGAATTAATTAAGAAAACATCCCAATATGACTCTACGTATACAAGAGACGGAGGGAGATGTACTTTTATTCAACAAATGTAGACGTGTAAGGGCAGGTCCGAGGTGCTCAACCACTGACGTACGGCAGTAATTCTTTTACAACCAAAGTAAAGAATAAATCCAGAGCTTCCCGCTCGAACAGCAGCATAGCAATTACAATGGACATCCTCACATCAAATCCCGAATATCTTGCTTGGCTCAATCTCCGGGTCCCAAAATAACTGCTTAGGAGATACGCATCAAATCCCGAAATAACTGCCTGGAGATACACATCAGATCCCGAATATTTTGCTTGGCATGCCACGTGGTTTCTTCATGGGAACATATAAATACCCCTCAAGGGCCACGCCAAAAGGTAATTAAAACCAACCCTAAGCTCCTTGTTTCTCCGCTCTAAAGGTAGCCTCAATTATTGCTGACTTAGGCATCGGAGTGTCTACCCCGAGGATCCACCTCGGGGCTTTACAGGTCAATCCAAAGTGCAGATACGGACTGAAGAAGGACTTCTGGTTTGGTGCAGTTACATTTTGGCGCTGTCTGTGGGAACCTGAACTAAAAGCTCCCTTGTTGCTCTTATCATGATTAAAACTAGGTCAGCCCGAGGTGGAAACTCGTCTCAGCCTCTTGGACGAGGTCAGGTCCCTAGCAACCTTCCACCTCATCCCCCACCCCCAATCCCGAATACATTCCCTCATGTTGACCATACAGAAGGAGGGGATGAAAAACAGCCACACAATTCGACTCACAACTCAGCCTCCACCGCTAATCAAGATGTAGTTGCAACTCAGCTTGCTGCCATGCAACAGCAGTTTGGTGTCTTTCAGCTAGTGCTGGCTCAGCTGTTAGCCCGGAACAATCCTGGTGATCCACTCATTAACCTACTTAATCCTGCTCAACCCCCAGCCCCACCACAAAATCCTTAACCAGTTCAACATGCTCCCGATGTTAGTGAATCTCAGGGCCAATCTCACATCGCACCAGCTCAGCAACCCCTTCATGATGATGTCACTCGACGTCTAGATAGCTTAGAAAAGCTAGTGGTTGAACAGCGAGGTGTCCCACCTCCACACCCTACTGCTGACTCCGTACCCCACCCTCTCAACACCAATATTATACTGGAACCCTATCCCGCTGGCTTCAGAATACCACAGCTTGAAACTTATGATGGGACGAAGGACCCCGATGATCATCTACATGCTTTCTACTCTTGCATGCAGGCCCAGAACGCCTCTAATGCGTTGATGTGCAAAATCTTTCCCTCTACCCTCCGAGGTAATGCTCGAACCTGGTATTACAGTCTACCTCCGAGGTCAATCAACTCTTACACAGAAATGGCATCTGCTTTTGCCACAAAGTTTTCCAGTAGAAGGTTGATTAGGAAAACCACTTCTGAGTTGATGCGAGTTAAGCAGAGGGACGGAGAGTCTTTGAAGAATTTTATGAGCAAATTCAATGATGCAGTACTAGAGGTTAACTCTTTCGACCAAGCTGTGGGAATTACAGCTGTGATCTCAGGTCTTAGCCATGAGAGATTCAGAGATAGTCTGCTCAAACATCCTGCCAACACCTTCAGCGAGGTAAATGATAGATCGTTGAAATTCATAACTGCTGAGGAATATGCCCTGTTACAGAACCTAACTCATGTTAAGAACCAACACCCGGACTGGAGAAATGAGAATCCGAACAGGAAACGGATGAAGACAACACAAAACCGAGGTCCGATGTCGGCTTTCACCCTGAGATTCGGAAGGCCGAACTCAGCACTTTCACAACAACCTGCAGGTAATCCTCCAATTAATTGGACTCCTTTTAATTTACCGAGGTCACAAATCTTTATGCAAATTAAGAATAAGATGGACTTAAGACGTCCGGGTCCAATGAGAACTGCTGCTGTTACCAGAGACCATACTAGGTACTGTGATTTTCATCAAGATCACGGTCATACAACAGAGCAATGCAATAATCTGAGGTCCAAGCTGGGAAGTCTGGCGCAGAAAGGAATGTTGAATGAGTACATCCAGAGAGTGGAACAGCCAAGGTTTGTCAGAGAACAAGGGCCACAACATCAAGGAGTCCGCAATCCCCCAAACAGGCAAGGTGTGGGATATCAGCAAGCCCCACCACCACTCCCACCACCAGCTAGAGTCATACGCATGATTACGGGAGGTTTGGAAGCAGGGGGACTGAGCTCTAAGCAGCGAAAGTTGTATGTCAGAGAGGTTAAGCACCAGAACCGAGCTCAGAAGCAAAAATTTGACAATGCTGAGTGGAAGAATCAACCCATCACTTTCACATCTGCTGATCTCGAAACAGTTGTCACACCTCATAATGATCCTCTAGTCACTTCCGTCACGATCAACAATTGTGAGGTGCAGCGTGTCCTTGTTGACACAGGGAGTGCACCAGACATCATGTACTTCCATTGTTTTGAAAGTCTTGGGTTAGATCCAGCTCTGTTGCAGCAGTATGATGGTCCCATCTACGGGTTCAACAACCAACCAGTTCCAGAGTTCCAGTTGAAGGAGTCCTCACCATGAATGTTGCATTTGGAAGTGGCCGAAGTTATGTGACCCCTTCCGTGAGGTTTTTAGTAGTAAAGATGGCGTCCTTTTTCAACGCTGTCATTGGCCGACCTACACTGACTGAAATCCGAACTGTGGTTTCCCAGTCTCACCTATGCATGAAATTCCCAACTCCTACGGGAATAGCAACGCTCCGAGGCAACCAGGAGGTGGCCCGACATTGCTATATCACCTCGGTAACACAACCCCAGAAGGGCAAGGCTCAGACACTCAAGATTAATCCCAAACGGGTTCCTGATGATCGCCAAGTTATGGGCGTTGAGATAGTAGATAACCGACCAGAGGATGAAACCAGAGCTGCTCCAGTCGAAGATGTGGAGGAGATACAGATTGATGATAAAGATCCGAGCCGGAAAACGCAAATTGGGACTAAATTGAACCTGGAGGAAAGAGCAGAGCTAATAGCTTTTCTTCGGGCCAATAAAGATGTTTTTGCATGGACTTCAGCAGATATGCCGGGAATTCCCACTTCAGTTTTTCAACATAAATTCAGCACCAATCCCCTCAAGAAACCAGTAGCCAGAAGCGACGCCTTTTCGGGGGGGAGAGGTTAAAGGTTATTAAAGAAGAAGTCGAGAAACTCCTACAAGCCGGTTTTATCAGAAGGGTAGATTACTGTGAGTGGGTCGCCAATCCGGTGCTGGTGAAAAAAGCAAACAGTAAATGGTGGATGTGCATTGATTACACTAACCTCAACGATGCATGTCCAAAGGACTGTTATCCAATGCCAAACATTGATAAGCTGGTTGAGGCAGCTTCGGGAAATGAGAGATTGAGTCTCTTGGATGCATACTCAGGCTACCACCAGGTCCCAATGGCTCCTGAGGATGAAGAAAAAACCTCGTTCTATGCTGGCGATGAGATCTATTGCTATGTAATGATGCCCTTTGGCTTGAAGAACGCAGGTGCCACTTACCAGAAGATGGTTACCATCGTATTCTGAGCTCAGATAGGACGAAATCTGGAAGTTTATGTTGATGATATAGTGGTAAAGAGTTTGAAAGCTGACGATCACTTAACCGACCTTGAGGAGACATTCAACAATCTCAGACAGAATAGAATGAGGTTAAACCCAACCAAATGCATCTTTGGTGTGGAGTCTGGAAAATTCCTGGGTTTCATGGTTTCCCAGAGAGGGATTAAGGTCAATCTAGAGAAGATCAGAGCAATTGCCGAGATGGAACCGCCGAAGTCAGTGAAGGATATACAGAGGTTGACTTGAAGGGTAGCAACTCTTCATCGGTTCATATCGAAGTCAACAGATAAGTGCCTACCATTTTTCAAGATTATGAGGTCAGCTGCCCAGAAGGATGAATCGGGTAAACAGAAGAAGTTTGAGTGGACTCAAGAATGCCAAGCCACATTCGACGAGCTGAAGTCTTATCTTAGCTCACCACCTCTACTGACTAAAGCCAAAGATGGAGAAATCCTCTATTTATATCTGGGAATTTCAGATGAAGCCATTAGTTCGGTTCTGGTAAGAGAAGAAGCCAAACAGCAGAAGCCAATCTATTACATCAGCAGTGTGCTGCATGGAGCAGAGCTGAGGTACCCCCTTGTAGAGAAGGCAGCTTTAGCAGTTGTCACTTCGGTCAGGAAGTTAAGGCCATATTTCCAATCACACCCGATCATTGTCCTTACGGACCAACCTCTTCGACAGATCCTACAAAAGCCACAATGCTCCGGAAGACTAATTAAATGGACAGTAGAGCTGGGGGAATTCGAGATAACATTTCAACAGAGATCTGCAATCCGAGCTCAGGCACTGGCAGATTTTATTATGGAATTCACTCCACGTCATTCAACCCCCAATCCAGAGCCCAACGAGTGGACCTTATATGTCGATGGGGCATCTAGTAGCAAAGGATCAGGAGCTAGTGCTCTCTTGATCGGCCCAGATGGATACCGAAGTGAACATGCTTTGAAATTTAACTTCGATGCAACAAACAACATGGCTGAGTATGAAGCCCTGCTACTTGGTCTGCAGCTAACATTGGAATTAAAACTCAATGCGATCTAAGTATACAATAACTCCCAGCTAGTGGTGAACCAAATTAACTCAATCTGCGAAGTTGTTGATCCTGTGATGGTGAAGTATGTAGCTCTGGTGGCCGAGCTGAAGTGCAAATTCCAAAAATTCTGTCTAAGCAAAATCCCCCGAACTGAGAATGAACAGGCAGATTCACTCTCCAAATTCGCCTCTGATAGTTCTTTACATTCCAGATCGGTTTTTGTGGAGGTCTTAGATGAACCAAGCTTCATGAAGCCACGGGTGATGGAGATCAACACCGACCCAGGCACACCGAGCTGGACTAACCCAATCCTCTCCTTCTTATGAGACGGGATAGTACCTGAGGACAGGCAAGAGGCAATGAAGTTGAGGAGGAAAGCATCTCGGTATACACTTGTTGATGGGGTCCTCTATAAGCGATCTTTCTCTTTACCTCTTCTACGGTGCTTGAATCCCTATGAAGCAGAATATGCACTCAGGAAGGTGCATGAAGGTGTCTGCGGAAGTCATGTGGGTGCTCGAACTTTGGCTCATAAAGTCCTTAGACAGGGTTATTATTGGCCCAACATGTACAAGGATGCCACTCACTTTGTTCAAAGATGCTTGAAATGCTAGTTCTTTGCGCACCTGACTCACCAACTTGCAGAAGAGCTCACTACTCTGGTAGCACCATGGCCATTTGCTCAGTGGGGATTGGATCTTTTGGGCCCATTCGTGAAGGGGGTTGGTGGTGTAACCCACTTGATTGTTGGTGTAGATTATTTCACAAAATGGGTCGAAGCTCGGCCGTTATCCAGTCTTACTTCCAAGAAGGTTGAAAACTTTGTTTTCAGCTCAATCATCTGCAGATATGGGATCCTGAATCAGATTGTGGCTAATAATGGAACTCAATTTAACTGCACCTCTTTTCGAGATTTTTGTTTCAACTACGGGATTAAACTGCAGTTCACCTCGGTTTACCATCCGGAGTCCAACAGCATGGTCGAATCTGTTAACAAGTGCATCTTAGAAGGTATAAAGCCGAGACTGGAATAACAGAAGGCCAAATGGGCAGACGAGCTCAACAACGTCCTCTGGGCATACAGAACCACGAGCCGAACTGCCACAGGTATCGTTTCAAACCAGGTCTATTTGATTACTTTTTACATTACTTTACTTCTTCTGCTACGGCTTTACCTTAGAACAAATATACATAACGCATAAAGCGCATTCTAAAGTTATAATTGAAATAGGAGAAACACCCTATCACCTGGCCTTTGGTACCGAAGCAGTCATTCCTATCGAGATAGGAGTTCCAAGCTTCAGGGTCACTCATTTCAATGAAGGACGAAATGGACAGTTGCTTCGGGAGAACCTTGATCTGCTTGAAGACGTTAGAGAAGAAGCACAACTTCGAACTCTAGTCTACAAGCAGAAAATAGCAAACTTCTACAACAAACGAGTTCGACCTCGAACATTCAAAGTAGGAGACCTTGTTCTCAGGAAAGCAGGTCTGACGGGGTTCGAAACTTGATTCGGCAAGTTGGCACCAAACTGGGAAGGCCCTTACACTATCGCCGAAGTGCAGCACCCAGGTGCTTATATCTTATGGGACACTGAAGGCAAACGGGTTCCCAGGGTATGGAATGTCAATAATTTGAAGAAATTCTACCCTTAGCACACTTCTTTCCAGTGAACTTCATCTTATTTTCATAAGCATCGTCATTTTTTCTTGCTCTATGTATTCGAGCTAAATTTACTTATTTCATTAATGAATTTCACTTCACGTTCGAAGTAATTCAGTTCTGTGAACTCTGCTATGCGTTGGAAGTGGGTTTCATTTATTTCTGATGTCAGTTCATTCTGACTCATTCAGTCACTTCATTTTTAGGGTTATAATCATATTAATCAGTTACACTTTATTTTTGAAGTGCTTTACTTCGTCTTTGAGGTATACCTTATGGACATCCGAAGTCAACTACTATACTGTTTATTTTATCCGAGGTCATACCTTGTGTTAATTCAGATTAACTTATTTTATCCAAAAAGAGTTCCTCAAAGAAAAACATCAATCAAAAATCGAACACTAGATAAATAATAAATTCAAAAATTTTATACATTAATCTCAAATACAAAAATGTTATTTACACCAATAACACAAAAAATCCTAAACTACTGGAGGAGGAGGCTGCTCCTCAGCAAGAAGAGGTGGGTGATCTGGGCTCGTCTTCAGCAGGCTGAGGTGGCACTTCTGCTTCAGGAGGGGCCAACGTCTGCACTTCGTCAGACGAGACTGGATGCACCTCAGGAGGCTGCACTTCGGCTAGAGCTGCCTGATCCTCAACTCCGACGCCTTGCGCTTCTTCTTCTCCTTCTTCTTCCTCCACGGCCACCAACTCAACGTCAAAGGCTGGAGGAAAAATAGTGAGCCCCTCTGCATCACGCTCCCACCTCAACGTGATCTAAGGTCGGAAGTCAGCACAGAGGCTCTCCCCATCTTCCTCCACCCCTTCTTCTTGTTTCCCAAAGGTAACTGTTGTCACGTCCACCTCTGGGTACTGGGCGTTCACCTTCTTTCTACAGTCGGTGAAGACCACGATTGCAGTTGGCAGCCAGTAGAGTTTGAGGATGTTCTCGAAGGTGCTGGAGTTGAGGAAGTTGCCAATGTGCTCCTCCATCCCGTTGTGAACCAGCAGGTTCACGTTCTTCTTCAGCTCCGCTGCTCCTTTGCTCATGTTGTCAATGTATTTGTCCTGAGCCTCGAGCTTCTCCTCACAGATCTTCCTCTTACGTTCTTCGAGGACAAGCTTCGTGCTCAAGACATCATTCTCGTTCTGGAGCTCGGTCACTGAAGGGAGAACTTCATCCAGCCTCCTCTGCATCTCCCTCTTCTCCTTCTCCTTCTCCCATTCCCCCTTCTCCTTCTGCAGCTCATCCTTCTCATTTTGCAGCTGCTCGCACTACCTCCGCAAGCTGGCACGATCTTTCACACTCTCTGCATACTCCTGTGCTAGAGCGTTTGTCCAGCTCGCACTCTACAATGCAATCAGAAGTCAGACATCAGATACAGAGGTCAAAAAACTCAAACATACAACCGGAGTAAATTCCAACTATTTCGCATACCTCTAGGGCGTGCCACACAACGGTATACCCCAGATGGCTAACCACTTCGTCCTTCGCCTGCACCCTATCCACCTCAGGAAGAGTAGAGTTGAGGAAGTGCTTTGCCCCAGTCGTGTTTGTCGCCTCAAACTCTTCTAGTACGCGTGAGGAGGGATGCGCTCCTTGCCCCCACCAAGGCCTCGCACCTCGACCTCTTCCCTCTCCCTGTCTTCAGGATTGATTTCTGGAGGAGAAAGCAGGGGCACGAACTCCACCACCTCATCCCCCCTGGCTTCTGGCTCTGCCACCCTCCTCTTCTTCCTCTGGAGAGGTGCCACCTCCTCACTTACATCCTCGCTACCCCCCATCACAGGCTCCGGCCTTGACTGCACCTCCACAGCCCGGGCAAAAGTGCTGGACAGTCGCCCCCTCTCTGCCACCCCCTTCTCCGCCGCAGTTGAAGTCTTTGACTTCTTCCTTGGCTTCTTTGGGATGTGCAGGCCCCTAGTCGCATTAATGAACTCGTCCATCTCAGCTGCAAAACAAACGTCAATATTAGAACACACCAGTTAAGATCTCATCAAAATTGCACACTACAAACATACACAAACCTTCGCTCAATGAGCTTAGCCCATAGAGCTCAGCAGCCTCTATTGCCTTCGGACTGGTGAGGTACAAAATATCCACTACGTCTCCATCTTCCCTCACTAGCTTCTCCACCTCCTCCACCTCATCCTCATTCAACTTATAGTTGTTTTGCTTGGTTTTCTTCGCTTTCCAAACAAACAACTGTTCCACTTCGGCATCCCTCCTACTCCACTCGGTGTCATCCACAAAGAAGAATTTTTCTTTCCACCCTTTGATGGATGACGGTCCAGTAGAGAATAAACTTCTATTCCCTTTACTGGACGACCAAGGGCCGAAGTAGTACCACCCCTTCTCCCCCCTACCCCCAGCCTTTATTATAAAAAAATGTTTGAACATTTCACTGTAGGGACTCCCACCCCCCAAACTCTGCAGTATACAAGAAAAGCTATTATTACCCTTATGGCATTTGGGGTTAATTGGGTTATTCCTATACTGTAATCTAATAATAGCCCCACCAGTAATTCTGGAATGGAAAACCTAAGCCCTGCTATCAAATAATGGACGTATAGGGGCATCCAATGGTCTCGGGGTGCTGAGCATGCCCTCTCATTCACCCCGGCAGGC